AGAAGATCATGGCGGCCCAGAGGGCCCTGAGGCTGCAGGTGCCCGACCCCCCGGCCGGGGCAGACGCGGGGCCCGCTCCCTCGGGAAAAGGCCCTGAGGCGGCCCCCGGGGCGGCCAGCGCCCCTCAGCAGGGTGGCCCTGAGGGGATGAAGGGCGCCCATGAGGTGATGAAGGGCACCCATGAGGGGATGAAGGGCACCCAAGCCACCAGCAGCAAAGGCACGGCGTGCAGGGGAGCTCCGCCACCTCCCAGCGGCCCTCCCTTCTGGGACTACGGTAAGGGACTGTCCCCACAGCCTCTTCCCCCATCCCACCACCTTTCTTTCTGCTTTCCTCTCCTTCCCCCCATCAAACACTGCCGTGTGCGCAGTTTGCACCCGCCTGATTCCTCAGGCTCCAGCTCCCCTGAGAACCGTTCCTGCTGTCTCGCCTTCTTGCCTTCCCCTACGGACACAGGTACCCAAATGGCATTGTTGGATGTGCAACCCTGCATTTATTTTCCCTTTGGCAGGGTTTGCAGTGCAGGTTGTGCAGCTCTGCAGTGGCAGGAACAATGTGCTTGGCTTCGATGCTCGTTGCAAAGTTGAAGCTTAAACAAGTGGCTTTTCTCTGAGAGGCAAACTGGTCTGGGACAGAAACCAAACTGATCCACTGCAGATCCTTCTGCATGTTTCTCTTGAGTGCTGTCCCTGTTTAAAAATTCAGAGGCATAAGGTTCCAGCCACAGAAATGCTAACAAACTCAGCAATGGGAGGTAAAAGGGGAAGTTACTGATGTGGTTGCCTCAAGTAAGCATTTTATTATAACACTGTAAAAGAAAGAGACCTTTTGGCCATGATTCCTGTAGCAAAGACAACTTGGCTAGGATCACTTGGTGTAAAAGTGCATTTGTTATTTATGATCAGAGCATAGATTTTGCAGGTGAAACAGTTGTATGGTCTGTCACCTCTTAAATTGCTTCCTTTAATAGAGTCTTCCATGTCACTTGTCTAATTTATTACTATTTATTACAGTAACTTCATGCTATCTCTATGTACTATAGTAATTTTATGGAAATCCCTACTGACTGCAATAGTCATTAGTCTGAGCCTCTGGAGAGTTGGCAGCCTGCAAGACAAAAGGCTGTTCTGAGAAGCCCAGAGGAAAGGGTAATTTCAGATATCTCTAGTTTCCACTTGATCTGTCAATAACTATTCCCCTTTTTTAGCTTTTTTCCCTTTTTTTTAGCTTTGTTTCCTAAGAAACTTATATTTCTGGATGATGCTAGCTGTGCATGTGCCTGTCAGTCCTTCCCTTAATAACATTTTTTACCTGCTGACTAATTAAAAAAAAAAAAAAGAGGTTATGGACAAATAGTATAATTCTAGTACTCCAGAAGTTAACCTACTTGCAAAGCAAATTCTTCCACTTTTCTACCAACAGGAGGATGTGCAAAGAAGGACCCTATGTGTATTCAAATAACCATTCTCTTTTTTTTTTTTTAAGACTTCAGAAAGGCCACATAATATTTCAGATGCAAGATATAAAACAAAGGAAGTAACTTATTCCTGCATTTGAAATTGCTTCTCTATGTCCCTAAAATGGAGCCTTTGTCTGTAAATTAACTTAAGAAGTGACAGATGGAACTAAAGTTAGAACTCTGTTATTTATGTAGATTTTTGTTATAAGTTCTGCTAGAGTTAAAAGTCTTAAGGTATGTTGCTTTGCTGTTGCTGATGTACTGAAATAATAAGATTCTGGAACCAGGGCTTTACTAAGGACTAGCTCCACAATGCACAAGACAGAAAAGAACACAGATCATTCTGTGTTACAGTATCATCTGCTCCACTCTTCTTTAGTTCCTTAAAAAATCAAAATACATTTGTGAGGAGCTAAGCATGAGACCAGAGTCAGATTATCCTGCCTGAAAGTGGAATTTGGTCCTGCAGCTACTTCTACTGAACTCCGTAGAATTCCATGCATACTTTCATTTGTTCTTTTCCCATTGTTTTCTAGCTCACCCTGCTTTTCCTCCAGAATACATGGTCAACCCAGAACACCTGGAGAGAGAACCTCCAAAAGTGTACTCTGGGTGTTCTGGAGTATATCCTTACCATGCATTTCCTATGGGATTTGCCATCAATCAGCCAAGCTGTAGGGGGGCACCATCACCTCCAGGGATATCACTTCAGAGAGGTTTCCGACACATTCCTAGCCACTATGGACCAGGGAATGCAGCTTCTGTGTCAGTAAGTAGTGCCTCTCTTTTGCATGAAGACTTCCAGGCTTGTTCAGTGGCAGGTGGACCTGGTTTAAACCAACTCTAATGACATACCAGAACAGAAAACAAGGACTTAGAAAGTCAGTTGCAGCTGAGACATGGTCTAAGGAGCTGCTACTTCTCAGTTCCAGCATGTTACTTGATGCACAGGCTTTGCATGTGCTAATACATGCACAGATGTGCCAGCGTATGGCAACAAAATAGACCAATAATATTCACAGGTAAAAATTGAAAGAGAAATTGTTTGATACTGCAGATGTGTCCTGGAGAGAGTCTTTAAAGGAAGATGCTTTGTTTCATGTGTTTCTGCAGATTCCAGATGGAGGTGGAGATTTCCATCAAGGATACTACACTCCTCTGCCTCAGTTCATCCCACCAAATTTTCTTCCAGGGATTCACTACATTCCACCTCCCCTTTCACTGAACATGGTGGCTGAAACAACCAAGGAGGCACACGGTAAGGAAGTATGAGTCAAGCCCTGGGAGACTCAGTTTTAACCCAGTTTGAATACCTGAGCACAGAGGTGGAAGCCTCAAGACACCCTGATTCTAGGTAGTTTACAGGGCTTCCCAGATCCTGTGATGGAGCCAGAACTGGAGTAAATCCCAGCACAGCTTGCCAGCTTGTACAGCTCTAGGCAAGGCTGATTTAGGAGAAGCAGCCTGACATGCTTGAGCTTTCCAGCTAACAATCACCTCAACCTGAAATTGAGGTGCAGGTGTTGGAGCCCCCAGGACTCAGAACTATTCCAGAATATGATCTGTTGCTGTTCTCAAAATGAAAATATTTTTCTAAATAGCTAGTTTGCAGGACTTGTCTTAAAAATTATGAGGATCTGTTGCAGTTTAGACAAAATGCTAAAAAAAAAAAAAAAGTGGAGTAACACTTAGAATAGTATGGAATTTCTTGCTTATCTGAAAATCCTATATTTTCATTGCTGCAAATGAAAGACTGAATCTTCAAAATCTCAAGTTGTTTTATTGAAGCTCACAGGATTTAAAATTGTTGGCATTGGTTAAGTCTTTGTGCTTCTCTCTTTTGGGTCACTTTTCTGTATTGTGCTTACAAGTGGATCTATCTGTGATTATATTTGCAAGTTTTTCATTAGGCTGCAGCTAGCTGTGACCACAAGAGGGTAGAGCTGCTCAGAGAATTAACCACTATCGCTAGATGAGTGAATAGCCATTTCTATTTTAAATCCTTATTCAAAATGCAGATAAAGAAATACAACTTTATTTCTCTTCTTGATCATGAGAACAAAAAAGGGTTAATCTGATTATTTATTAAACAAGTTACAATAATCAACCAGTGAAAAATCAAATCTTTTGTGTTTGAGGGAGGAGAAATCAAGGAATATAATTTGAACTGAAAAGATGTTGATGGTGGTTGTGTGGAACAAAATATAGGTTGTGGGTCTTTTGGCCTGGTTTCTTGACAACATAAGGCTCATGCAGTCTCATTTTCTCTTAATCTCAGTCCTCTCATAACTTTGCAACCCATTAGTTATTTTCAGCCAAACATTTCTGTTGTGACCACAGGCCTGCACATTATCGATCTGCGAGGGAAGCAGCTGTCTCCCACAAGATGGTTTGTTTGCAGCCATGTCGTGGTGCTTGGCAGGCAGTCAGCTTGTACTCAGTTCCTGACTGATGCCTGTGTAGCTTGGCTAATAGCCAAGGGCCTGCCACTCAGCCCAGCAGTGGGCACGGATCTTCAGAGCAGGCAGAGCATACCTGCTTCTTGTCTGGCTGGAAAGTCAAAGAAAAGCAGGAGATGTGGGAGACAAGAGGAATATGAAGAATACGGTGTGGGGGGGTACATACAGACATCATAGAAACGTGGAGTTATTTCAAGATACAAAGGCATTAGGACTTCAATGCAGCATGTAGGAGATACTGGTGTGCTGGTGGTGAAACAATATGGCCTGAGTTTGAGGGGAAGAGGGGAAACTCAGGCTTGGCAGGCAACCCAGAAAGTGTGAAAATAAATGGATTTTGTGATTTGGAGGGGACAGAAGATCTGGGGGTTACTGCAGTGGCAGATAACTTGGAGGGAGCTGCAGCTGTTCTGTTAGAGGGTGTGGGAATGGGAAGAAACTGGAAGTAGCAGTCAGACATGGGGGATATGGAGAGAAACAGTGATATTGCATGAGGAAAAAAGGAAATCTAGTCCTCTGTTGGTAGAATGACATTGTACTGGGCAAACAATCATGAAAACAGGCAATTGGATAAAGGAGAGAGACCATGAGAGCAGCCCCTGAGAATAAAATGCCATATATTTACCTCATCCCTTATTACACACTAGCGAAATCACAACCCAGGTACAAAGCCATAGCAAACAATGCATTGTGTATTATGCTGCTCAGAGAACAATCCAGTTTTCTTAGTACTATGGAGAAAGTACAGATTAATTCCACTACATAGCAGTTGTGCTCCAGAATATGTAAGAATTTACAGTTGTGACCCAGTGAGGAGGGATATTTCTGCATGAGGTCATATAGAAAACAGCCTGCCAGCACAAGATGCAGACATGGAGGGGAGCTACAGTGGAAATAATAGTTCTTTGATTCTGATATTAAAGATGCTTGAAAAAAGAGAAAAGCTGTAATATTTACTGTGTAGGGATGTTTTACAATTGCATCATATCTTTTTTCCCCAAGAAAGGAACTGACTCAAACCTGCAATTAGATTTGGAAACATTCTTCCTCCAGGGAGACCTCCAGAATTGAGGTGAAATGGGCTTTCTGGCAAAACTGTTGCAGGAAAATTAATCTAGAAGACTCTAGCAGGGGACAGCTGGGGAGAAGAAATGTGTGTGATCTGTGTCCTGAAGGGAATCTGTGATGAAGATAAAAAAAGACACCCAACCTAAGCCCTGTCTGAAAAAGATTTTCCAAGGCTAGAAGCTGATGCCAGAAAGGTTTGAGACAACAGCTGACTTGCAGTTGAATGACTAAGGACAGTTAGGTTTACAATGGTGATGTGAAGTATAAGCCATGTTTTTACACAATTTCATGCAGTATTGACTAGTAATGCTATGGAGTTGTGACAAAATAAACACAAGGTATGTCCAGTAGAGCAGCTAGTACAGAGCCTGAGGATAGAGTCTGATTGCAGATTGTTGGCTTGCTAAAAGAGCAAGCCACAGAAAAATGAAAACGCAAGTTGCCTATGAGGAAATGAGGGAACTTTTCATGCAAATTAGCAAATACAGACTTCATAAAATGAAAATCCCTAGTTGCATTTAAAGAAAAGATTATTTAGTCTGTCAAGGTCTTTGAGGATTCACAGGAGTGTTCAACAGGCGTGGCACAGATTCGCTGCAATTAAGTGGGCAAAGGGTCTGCCTCATACTTCTATTCCAGTGCAGCTCCACCACTTGCCATCTTGAAGCACTCTTGCTACATATCTTTGAGCGGGCTGAAACAATCAGCTGCTGTCTGCAGTGCAATAGCTCAGCTCAGGGAGCTGCAACTCTTGCTGTCAGGCACTTTTGAATTAACTGGGTTGAAAAAACAAACTGGATTGACAAAAGTAATTTTGCATTGAGAATTTACCTCTGGAGGGTGATTGATACCAGGCGTAATGCAAATACAGAGCTTGGGGGTTTTGACTTGTTTGTTTGTGTTAACTCTGACCTTTTTCTATTCTTCATTTCTATTTCAGCTGCTGAAGCTGACAGTCAGGATTCAGGGGTGGTTCATGAGCCTGGCCAACCATCTTCTCCAGAAGAAACCAACAGAGACCAAGCTGTATACTCTAAACAGTAAATGGCCTGGAGAAGGGCTCAGTAGCAGGCAGCACTATTTTAATTTCTGAGGAGAATGTTAGTTAATATGAGGGTAAAGTGACACTTAGTCACTGGGCAGCCAGAAAGGCTAGAAGTAGGGGATTAGTCTCCTGCCTCACTTTATGATCATGTCAGAGCTGCTAGGCTCACAGCTTTGCCTCCCTAGCACTGTAAAACCCTTGTTCCTAGAAGAGGTTTTCCAGAGCCATGGTAAATCCCTTCCCCCTTAAGCAGGTGGAAGCAGCAAGTGATTATGACTGAATTTGTTTCCTTTGCTTGAGGTTACATGGCTCCCTGACTTTGGAGTGAGGTCTCTGAGCCATGTAAATTCTGTAGCCTTCTCATGTTCATGACAGTAGTCAAAAACGTGTTGTTTGTATCTCAATTTCCTGTAAAGGAAACCTGGTTCTGGATATTATAGAAATGTTAAATGATGTAGAGCCTGAAGACTAAGTGAGAGAGGGTGGGAAGACAGTCTGGGTTGCTGATTTACTTGGCTGCCTAAGAACATGATTCACTGGATTCAGCAGGGTAAGGGAACAGTTGGTGCTTGGTACACTTGTCAAGAAGGGCATGAGAAGAATTTGCAGAACAGTTTGGTATAGGCTGAAATCCAGTGCCTCTGCATTGTTTTCTGGGTGAACTGCCTTTAAGGCACCTTCTGTTCAGGGTGGGGACAGACCGGTTTGGAATCACCTCTTGTCACACAGGCGTCAGGATTTTGAATGTCCTTGATGGTTTATACATAATTTCAATGTTGTTTAACTCAGTACAGCTGAAAGTAAACAGTGTGATTTGTTTCCAAAGGCCACACGTAGACAGCTTTATACATGTGTATTGGAAGTGCACTGTGGTGTATCAAAGGTGTGGAAAGATTGCTTAAGAAACTAGGACAAAACATCATTTAGAATAATAATTAGTCAAATCCACACATACTAGACTTTTCAGTGATAATGTTTAATTAAAATGGAAGGGTACTTTCATGTTTTGCTCAGAATTGGTTTTGTATTAAGTGGATCAGTTGTTAATGTTAGAATAATTTTGAGAGGACTTTTGTATTATTAAAATATTCATTAAATTCTTGGTATGGTTTTGATTATTTGGGGCTTGCATATCTACACTTAATTATTCTAGCCAAATGTCAGGTGTTGCCCTGTACAGCTCTGCATAACAAACTGGTCTGGAGAGAGATTTAGGCATCACTATTTTCCTTCTATATCCATATATAATCCATTTGTAAAGAAGAAGAGGTGTTTTCATTCTTGGTATGGTTTTGATTATTTGGGGCTTGCATATCTACACTTAATTATTCTAGCCAAATGTCAGGTGTTGCCCTGTACAGCTCTGCATAACAAACTGGTCTGGAGAGAGATTTAGGCATCACTATTTTCCTTCTACAATTTTTGACTGCTGCTGTAGAGGTGAGTGCAGTAAAATAAACATTCTTTTCTGCTACTTGTACTAACAATCCCTTGCTCAATCCAAGTGGAAAGAAATTATACTAAACTGAAATACTTTTTTTTAACATAGTAGATGATCTGCTGGAATGCTTTAAACTGGTCTGGAGAGAGATTTAGGCATCACTATTTTCCTTCTACAATTTTTGACTGCTGCTGTAGAGGTGAGTGCAGTAAAATAAACATTCTTTTCTGCTACTTGTACTAACAATCCCTTGCTCAATCCAAGTGGAAAGAAATTATACTAAACTGAAATACTTTTTTTTAACATAGTAGATGATCTGCTGGAATGCTTTCCAGCACACAGTCAGGGTTTTGAGAGACAGTGAATGCAAGTGGCAAACATAAAGCTGCCAAGAGGGAAAAACTGAAAAACATATCTCTATAGCAAATCTGATGTACAACTTGCTATATACTAGATTTACAACAGGATCTCTGCTGCCAGGAGTCTCCCAAACCTCTTCTTAAAATTGCTGTCTGCTTGGGAAAATCTGCATACTTAAGGTGTTTGAATAGAGCATTTTCAAAATAAAATAATCTACAAATAGAAACCAGCAGCACTCACAAAGCAGGTTCCTTTGTGGATGGAGTGGTTTATATATATATAAAATCATTACTAAATCATTATATGTATAATGATTTAAGGAAATAGTAATGTGTAAGATGAACAGTTGACTAGTTCCCTTCCCAGATGCTCTTCTAAAGTCATATTCAGTGTTGTCTTACACTCCTTAAGGCAAGATAGACTCCAGCTGATTTCACTGACTACTGCACAGTCATTGCAGATAAGCTGCAAACACAGTACTGTGTTCTCTCTGTTTTGCTGTGCCAGTGACCACTTCCAGATTGCTGAACCAAACTTCATCTTTTTGTACCTGTGAGTGACCCAAATACTTTACTTTGGCTGTAAGAATGATGGTATGACACTGCAATAGGATCTCTCTCACTGCATTGCTGCAGACCACTGTCCATCTCCAGAAGGATGTAGCAAGTTTTAAATACAAGCCAGAGAGAGGCACCTAAACTGAACAAGGAGATGGAGGAGTTGCCTTACAAGAGGAGTCTAAACATAAGTCTTCAGTTTGTAGAGGAGAAAGTGGAGGGGGGATATGACTTAGTTTTAGAACATCATGTCAGCTGTGGCAAAGTGGAAGCAAGACCATTACAAAGCTTGCTACTTCCACACATGAAGGACAAGCAGGTGACCAGGGATAGGGACAAATTATGTCACACCATGCTGATTGCCTTCTGTAATGAAATGACAGGCATCTACCCCAGTCTAACAGGTGAACAGCTACAATTTGCTTTCCTGGGGCAGCAAGAGTGAGACCAATACTGCTTAATATGGATAATCATGTCATCAGTCAAAATTGAGTGTCATTTCAGATTTTTACATTTTAGGAAATTTGTCCCCAGGTTCTTACACCAATCTCTGCATGGAAAAGTAAATTGCTTGGTAGGAGAATTAAAGTGAGTAACTCTCCAGTTCACAGGAAGAATTAATTATCTTACGTGAATAATTCAGGGTTTCATTCTTCCATTTTATGCTCAGCTTGTCCTTTTTAACCAAGGAAAAAATGTTCCTTGACAACTCATACTGTCATACTGTGCACTTAAGGACTTCAAAGCGAATAATTTTAATTCCAAACTTGGTGCCAGCAATGTTTCCAATAATTAAACTCTCTGATCTCTTCTGACTCCATTTATTTAAATAAATTACTTGGGCATAATGAAATCAATTTGGATTAAAATGGAATGATTTGGATTAGACAAGTCACTGAGAGGTTGTTCCAGCCTAAATCATCCCAGAATTTTATTGTTTTTTATTAAGGCTGAAACCACATAGACTTTGGGCAAATTCATAAAATTTGGGGAGAAATAGAAAAGTTAGCTGCACTTCCTGCTTCTGAAATCTCTGCATGCAAGCTGCTACCAACTGCAGCAGAAATTCTACACATAGCATTGTCATCATTATTATTTTATGATTGCTGAGGATTGACTCCTCTGCTAAATAGACCTGAACTTCTGAAGATGTGATTCCTAACACCTGACATTTCTGTCAGTCCCTTGTCCTCACTGCAAGCCCCTAGATAATCACATACACTATTCATACATTGAAGAGGAAAATCTGAAATTGGGAACCATTCAGTGTTTACTCACACCACTGATTCCATTATTTTCAGTGGAATTACCTGCAAGGGTACAGAGTTGACAAGTTGGATTAAGGAACCAAGTTTTGCACAGAGGTGTCCGTGATGCTGTCCAAAACCTCTGATTATTGTAGATTTGCATTTTGTGTAGGAGCTTTGGAAAAAAGAAACCCAAGGGATTCTAGAAGGATGACATAGTATGTCCAATCTGCAAACATACATAAGAATTATTTGTCACTGCCCTACAGAAAATTCCTAGATGTTAACATTCCTGTGGTATCACCTTCGACATCTGGACTGCAGCAGGTCTTCGTACTACAGTACTTGTAATACTCTTTCTAGATATTTTTTTCCTTTTCCTCTTGGAATTAGATGCACTCACTTGGAATCCTCTGAATCTGCAGCAAAACTATAGCTGTTTTTTCCACATTAATGAATAATTAATGTTGAGCAGCAATCCAAAGAAATACTTAATTGCCTGCCAATAAAGTCAGCTTGCTGCAAACAAAACTCTCCATCCCCTTAAAAAATAATTTTGATGACAGAAAAATTCTTTATGATGTGAAACACCTATTTCGGAACAGTGGAAACTTTAATTAAATCATTCTTATGGGTAAGTGGGTCTGGTTTTCCTATTTTTTGCCTAATATTTTACTACTGCAACATTAGCATTAGTCATGGTTATGTCTCTGCTTGCCAGATCATAAGGGAGAAATCCAAATGTAATTGAAGACTTTGTGGGATCTATTCCTGAAATCAGAGTGTAACTGCATGTTTTATTGTAGCCCAGGTCATCGAGGGACCTCAATGATAAGGCAGTGATGTGCCTATTCACCCATGCATTTAACCTACCAGTATCCTTACAGGAATGTCTTCTCATACACACGTAGGGCTTGAAGGGCCCAGGTAAGAATATTTCTGAAAAAGTCCCAGCCAAAGCCAGCAGGCTTATTTTGGTATTACTTTTATTTACAGCTAGTTACAATTTTCTCTTCTTTCTCCTTGCTGGCCCTTCAGATATTGTCCTCATCAGCTGGGCAACATTAGTGGAGACCTTGCTACTGACTTTATAGAGTGATCCCCTATGGATATAATGAAGGGCCAGTTGTGATCTCATGCTGTTTTCACTTTTATTTTATGCAACTGTCTTTAGCATAGGCATTTCTGGTTTCATTTACTAATTACTGTTAGAGCTTTTTACTCTTATTGGTACTCAAAAGTGTCCAGCCCATATAAGCTAGAGCAAATACAAACAATTTATTTTTACAAAACATTTCTTTGTTCAAAATGTGGTTCAAATAAGTCATACGCATAGTTTACTGGAGAACCTTCCTAAGTTTTCGTGACAGGCTCTGCTTCCCATTAAGAGATAC